GTATCCAACACCTTTTTGTGTGAGTTACCAAAATTTACCAATAAATGGGTATAATATTAGTGGTGGATAAACTTTTCCCTTGCAGCTGCCATTTTCTCTTATCCATAAACTAAAAACAGCATTGGTGCATATTCTTTCAGATAAAAGCAAAGACTGAACTGCTGCTTTCAGCAGAAGCTTCAAAAACTGCTCAGAGAGCAGATCTTCAGAATCACTTGGACACTGCCCAGCATGCACTACAAGATAAACAACAGGTGGGACACAATAATGCTACTAGGTAACCTGCATAGAAAATCAGAGAGATTTAGGTGGGGGAGGGGAAGAAATCAAACTTGTATGTTTTTGCACTTGTTATCAAGATTATTAACCATGTAATGTATGTTTTGTTTTATTGGCTATAATAAAGTTGGAAGGGTGAGGTGTTTTGGTATGAAAACCAACACTCACTATAGAATTAAGAATGTAAGTGCCATATTGGGTCAGATCAGTGGTCTTATCTAGCCCAGTATCCAGGCTCTGGCAGTGGCACAAGTGGATGCTATAGAGGGAAAGAATCAAACTGGATCTCTCTACAGTGATGTATCCCATATTCCATAACCTCTCTGGCATCCACCATTTTTAGTTTAGAGATCAAAACATCTCCAACCATTCTGTTTAATAGCCATTAACAGATTTTCATCCATGAATTTGCCCAGTCCCTTTTTGAACCTGGCTATACTTTCTGCCTCCACCACCTCCTCTGGCAATGAATTCCACAAAAAATAAAAACTACTTTCCCTTGTTAATTTAAAAGCTGTCACCTACTAATTTAAGTAAATGATGCTTAGTTCTAATATTCTGGGACTTGGTGAACAGCAGTTCCGTGTTCACTTGGTCCCTGTTCTTTGTGATTTTATAGACCTCTATCCTACACTGCCATGGCATTCTTTCGAAAGTAAAGAGTCCTAGCCTGTTTAGTCTTTCCTGGTATGGTGACTTCTCCATGCCCCAGTCTGGTTTTTTTTGGTTTTTTTTCAGACAGATTTTATGCTTTGAATCTAGGCCTTCATTTTTATATGAATTGTTTCTAACTGGCATGATGGCTAAGGTCCCTGGCACATATTCATTTAAAGGCACAATGGGATCAAATTCCTTGATTCTAACAATTGTACCTCTTGTCATTTCAAAGATCAGTCATGCTTGTTATACTTGCTGGTACACGGGGAGCCTGGGGTCATAATCATGATTCTGGACTTTCCCTGCACTGGTAGACTGAAATCTGGGTACTCAGTTTGAGACCTGGTGCAGTCCTTGGTTGGAACTGACAGTCAGCTGATTGTTAGCCCTGGTCTCGATCTGCTACACTTTTAATTTATGGTGCTGTACAAACTAGCTATAAAAATGTTCTACAATATAGAATATATAGTGTAGAACATTTGTATAGCTAGCTTGCTATTTTATGGTGCCTTAAATTGGGTGCCCATGTAACACCCTTGCCATTAATGCTGTGACTATCATGTTAATTGCAGCATAAATTTAATATGTAGAGGGGACCTAAAGGATTTACAAAGTGCACTTAGTAAAGCAAGGCAGTGTTTGAGTTGGCAGACTCAAATAAATAAAACAGAGCTGTGCTAAATTAAGGTAAAGCACTTATTCCAAAATAAACATCCACTCAGACTTGCACCAAAATAATAAAAGTGAATTTAAAATCACACACACCTAGTTATGTCAGTAAGATTTTTTTGGGGGCGTACCAGCCCTAAATAATGGCCTCTTATTTGGGTGTTCATGTTAAAACCAAAATGCAATAAATTAAATAATCAGAAGCAAAAAGTTACCAGACCTGACATCTTAGCAGAAACGTGCACAATTCCAAACCACTTTCAGTTACCACTATTATATTTTTTGCCTTATGAGGTGTAGTTACAGATCTTCTGTAGTAATTTTCCTTAACTATAATAAATATAAAAGACAAACCTCAGTCTCTTACTTTAAATGATGCTGCTGCACAGTTATTTAGGCTGCTACACCAGTGTCATAGAAATTGGTCCGGCTTTCTGTGGGGTGCCTGGTGCTTTGATGATAACTGGTGCTGTAAAAGACTAGCAGCAGTATATATTCTCTTTCTGTTAGAAAATAACTTTGTGTTATACTAGTAGTTCTAAATATAATCCAGGAGCCATTAGTGGTCTTGAAAGCTGACAGTGGGTCCATGCTGTTGGTTCTCCTTGTTTGCAACTGCTAAATTTTAAGCTTTAGATATTTTTGCTCATTGGAAATCAATGTTAGGAACTGCTGTAGTTTCACTTGGTTTGAACATTTTAGACAAATAGCAACATTTTAAGCATTTATTTTGAGACCTCTTTAATAATTTAAAAACTGTTAGTCATAATAAAATTCATTCAATTATATTTTATTTCACAGGAGTTAAATAAGGTCAGCACTCAGCTGGATCAGGTTACAGCTAAGTTGAATGATAAGCAGGAGTATTGTACACAGCTGGAAGCTAATCTTAAAGAGTACAAAGAGAAACACTTTCATTTAGAACAGAAAACTGAAGAACTAGAGGGACAGCTTAAGGTTTGTATTAAATGTATAACTTCAGTGTTTTAAAGCTGTCTTTCTCTGTGTAGAGTTACACATTATAGATTAACTGAATCAGAGATGCATAAGCTTATGTAAGGTTCAATTCTTCCTGATTTCAGACCAGCACAGCTAACTACCTCTCTCTGCTCCATGTATAGGAACAACATTGAGCAGAGCTGTGCTCAAATTACAGGCGAGAGGATGACACACTATTTATTGCTCTTAAATAGCTTTATTTTTCACCATCATTCCCTTTTTTTCAGCAGATGGCAAATTTCTGCCTTTTCATTGTTATTATCTCTTCTACACCCATATTTCTTTAACTCTTAATCCTAACACTGAGCATGACACAAGGAAGTTGTTAAAAGTTATAACTTACGAAGAGCCTCTACCTTTATGGGCAGTATTTCCTGTTTGTGTGCATCAGGAAGAAGACCTATTTTAGGGCTATCTGTCTGTTTTTTAATTATCCTATTTAAATACTACTTTCTATGCTGACTTCTTATGGTTATCACATTTGAATTCAAGGGGACTTTTGAATTTGATTTTCTTTTACCTGACATGCATATTTGATATATTAGTGTACATAAAGTTGACAACAAGACTGCCTGTTTTTCCAAGACTGCCTGCCTTTCTGTGTACCTGCTTAAGGCACAATGGTCCAGACCCCCAGATGCTAAGGGGCTAACTTGGCTACCATGGAAGTCAATAGTTTTTCTATCAACCTTAATTGAGAAATAAAGTTCTAGGTCACATACAGACATTCAGTTGGGAGAGTTATTAATCTCCCAGTAGAAACTATGAGTGTACAGATGTCCCTGGCAGACAGTGTGTCACTTGCTGGACCCTACTGCTCCTGCTTAGCAGGGAGCAGAACATTCCCCCTTCACAATTCTTACATTGTGCAGCAGGGAGACAGCCTGACCCTGAGAAGTCTGGGTCAGGTGGACTGCTCTGTATGCTGCCATCTTTCTCTAGGCTGACTGAGGATGCTGCAGAGCATGCTGAAATGGGTGCACAGGGCCCCCCTGGCTGTGTAACATCAGCATTACAAGCTCTCTGATCTTCAGGGGTTCAGCATTTGAAAGTCTCTTCACACAATAAACTTCAGCACTCCTCACACAGGACTAAACTGCTCCCAGGTGGAACATCTACATGTATGCCCAGGACAGCAGCGATTTGAGCTGGGACAGAGCAGGCCTGGACTTGTGGGTGGCAGTGTTGGGCGGCAGAGGGGTTAGCTGGGCACAAGGGTGCAGACTCTGCAGAGCTGTGTGGCTAGGCGGCAAGCGGGAGTCTGGCCCATGCCTGATCACCATTTTACATGTGTGTTTCAGCGCAGTAAATGACTCTGCCATAAGATAGTACTGTCCCACGGTATAGTTAATTAGTTTACTGTGCCCTGTTACCAGTGCACGTGTAGACTGTGATGCTTTACTGTGGGGCAAATTAGTTAACTCAGTAAAGTGCACGGATAGATGCAACCTCTGAGTAAGCTTTTCTACCAGGAAATCAAACCCAGTAGAATTCTCTCAGATCATTTGAACGTGTATGCAACCCTAAATGCAATATGATCAGTTCACGCATAGGAGTTTTTACAGAGTCTGTCCCTAGGGTGTGCATGTGTTTGGTGTAATGTTTATAAAACACCATAAGAAATATGCATAATCACAGAGAGAGGGTGTGTTGTTCCTCTTATAAATTATTGAGCGTGAATGTAAGTCTTTTGAGTCTCTGGTAGAAATCTCCCTTGCAAAGCACCTCCCTTAGCATCCACCCTTCCCAAGACACTAAACTTCTCAGTTATACTTCTGCACTGGCCAAATCCTGGCCTTCCACAAGAAGTGATCTATGTTTATTAATATCCCCACAGAGTAGGTAGGATCTTGCTGTTAAAATCTTGGCCAAATTTTGACAATATAATTGGACTTAAGTACAACCCTGGGTACATGCCAATAAGCTTTCTCTTGCAGACAACAGTAAGGTGGGTATATTATTTCTGTTTTAAGAGGTAGTTAATGTGTGCATGATATTTATTACTGCACTATTTTCTGATCTAGTACTGAGATAGCCTAAACAAGATCTGGTTGTTTCACTTGATGTTTCTGGTCTGCCATATACATTTGATGTTGCTTTTTGGATCAGTATACATACATGATTCATACAACTGAGCAGCAGTGGAGAATTTTATTTTCAGGGTGGTGTTCTTTGGTACACAAGGAAGATGGCAACTCCATGTAGCTTGAAAGAAGGGGCTCTAACTTTTCATAAGGATGAGGGGAGAAAATCTCTGTATTATTTTACAGCATTATATTTGAAAAGATATCTCATCTCATCTCATCTCATATATAAGCATAATTGTTTTGTGTCCCCACTTGTTCTGTAACTTTTCCTCCCTGTCCTGGTGGAGTGTCTCAAGTAGCTGCATAAAATTTACCACAAGGAGAATTGCCTGATTTGTCAATACAGTTTTTCTGCATGTTCATTTTTCTTCAGTTTTGAGATGCTATTGCTAATATCACCAGAAGACAGTCTGTGTAGCAATGTTGTTGCATTGTGCCAACTAGTAATAATTCTCTGGGGTTTTTCCACTTTGGTGTATGATAGTTTGAGGGTTTGGGTCTGCAAATGCATTGAATTACTAAAGTTCTATGCTTATTTTAAGCCCCTACATTGAGACAAAGCTGCCCACAAATGAAACTTCAGTTTCTAGGATGTGCAGACTTGTGAACTCTGTTGCTGCACATGTGTGATTGTATGTCTTTTTTCCAATTTGGTGTAATTGAATAAAGAAATAAAATAGATTTATTTGTTTAACTTAGGCTTACTTGCAGCTGCAGCTCATCTTGTTTATTGTTACGTTAATACGATGGTCAGATCCTCAGCTAGTGTAGATGGCCAAATCCCCCTTGAAGTCAGGGGAGCTCCACTAATTTATACCAGCTGAGGAATTGACCTGAAGGGCACATTTTTATATAGAAAATAACAATTCACTTTAGGATATTTTTAAAAAACATTTGCAAGTTTAAATGAGCAATTACTTCATTCCATTCTGTCCCTCACTAATGGAATACTGTATGAAAAAGTATTAAAAATCCATTTAAATCTACATCATGGAGTTGTCTAGGAACCTTGATATTTTCTGTGGGTTTTAGATTATGATGAAATATAGGGTGTGGTGGGTGTGCCCTGGGGATTGTGTTTATGGTAATAGTAGCTTTTTTAAACTTTTCTTTTCAAGAAACTTGAAGCCGACAGCCTTGAAGCCAAAGCAAGCAAAGAACAGGCTCTCCAGGAGTTGCAACAGCAGCGGCAGCAGTGTACAGAGTTAGGCCTTAGGACAGCAGAATTAAGCAATCAACTCAAAGCAGAAAAAGAAGTGTATGTTAACCCTGTTTAATATCCTGCTTTTCAGATTGGGAGACCTGGATTCAAAGTTGAATTGGACTAGATTTATGTCTGTATGCCCAAACTGAAATTTCTAGTCCGTACACTTTACTGAGTTCCAAACTCACCCTGAACTTGAAAGTAACTATACGTCTTAGTTGCCTCACAGAGGAGAACTGGGTTGCTCTCAGTTTCCCTTCTTGTGCCTCAGCCACTGCTTAAATGCTAGGTCCCATCTGCCTGCATGTGTCAGATGAGTTCTAAGTAATATCAATGCATTTCTTCTGCCCTTGTCTCACCCTTCTTTGTACAACCTGCTTGTTGCATCATCAGTAGGAAGGTGGCTGTCAGCAGACAGTGTTATATGCATTTTTATATCACTCAGTTATGGACCCTTCCCAATGTGGGATTCATATCTCTACTGTGCGTGGTAATGAGAAACTTATCAGCATGACCACCTGAACCTAATATTGGTTGGGAAAAAGATGGTTATATTATTCTAGAGGAAAAAAAACATATTTGTGAAATTGTAAGCAGACTTAAGTCTAAGGTGCAAGTGGGGATAGGGGCTTTCAACATATTTGGTGGTTACATACAAGCATTAAAGCTGGTCTGGATGTTTTAACTGCAAGTGCAGTTTTTCCAGCAGTCAAAAGAAGCCTTTTTTAAAGCATAAGTCCCATCTTAATTTTGTGGGGAGAAGTGCATGCGACTCCCAAAGAGCCAAAGAGTAGGTTGTCATTTGATCTAGAAGTCTCAACCTGTTCAGAGAGCTGCTCACTGAAGATACCTTAGTTATGTAACATTTCAAATATCAATTTGCAGTGAGCATTTAAGCTCTCAGAGGGTAGTTTATGAATGTTTAAGGAAGAAGACAATCTGAAAATGGGGTTTCGGAGTGCAAAATATATTTAATTAGAGAAACAAACATCTACATACCAACTGAAAAACGATGGTGTAGATCACTTGTCCAATTAACATTCTTAATTGTAAAATGTTAGATTTAATTACATGAACTTTGGCAGAGTTTTAAAAAGCTTGTTTCATGGTTCTACTTTGTATTTACAGTGTGTCTAATACTAAATTGGATCTGCAGAAGAAATCTGATGCCCTTGAACAAGCAAAACAGCATATTTCAAAGCAAGAAGGAGAAAAAGCAAGCCTTAAAAGGGACCTTGAGAAATTAAATCAAGAGACAACCAAACAACTAAAGGAACTAGATGGCAAGATACAAGTAATGATGTCAGAGCTGCAGCAAACCAAGTCAGAGAAAGATACTTTATTAAAAGACCTCACCGTTACCAAAGATAAACTATCAAAAACTAGTGAATCCTTGAAATATACAAAAGATGACTTAGAAAAGGAGAAACAGAAAGGAAAAGCAGCTTTGGCAGAAACGGTTAGTCATGGTTTTCACCTGGCATCCAGTATTGTCCGTTTTTTCAGTTAGCTTATACGTTGTTCAGCTGTGCTTTGCACTCTAATAGGAAAATTACTTTTAAGTTTGCAGAGGTGATGACTCTGTGTGAATTGCCCCAAGGAAAACAAAACTGAACTTTTAGTTGTGTTTAGTAATTCCAGACCTGAATTTGAGCTGGATGTTTTTTTTACTTGTAAACATTGGTTCATACCAGAAACCAGTCCTATGCGTGTTAATATGGGAAAAGAAATCAGACACCGGTGATGAACGTTGGTAACAACTGTATGTGAAGTGTACAAGGAGCATGGCCAGACCTCTAAAAACAAATCATGAGCCTTGATACTGTTTTTATCAACTTGTTAGTGTTTTATTTTTAGACTTTCATGCCAGCCTGTTAAAAGGTTGCTTTCACTTTCAGGAGCATAGCTGTGTGTATACATTACTTTGGGAAATAGCAAAACTGTGATGGTGGTGGTGCAAGAGCTGTGTGCAGGTCAAATGAATTTGTGATCTAAGTAGCAGCAGTGTGGTAGTGACATGTTCAGCCAGGAATAATCCAATATTGCAATAAAATAACCGTTTATGGTTGTTACTCAATTAAAAAACCTACAGTCTTTTCTCAACCCTTCTTCTCCCCCCTTCCCCAGCTTTATCTGACACTAACATCACCGAAGATAGCTTTAATACTACTTTTGTAAACTTTCTGTTTTTAGATTTGGTTGTTGTTACATTTTCCCAGTTTTTTTTCCTGTTTTGTATTGGACCACTTCCTCAACCCCCATATATGGCTATTTTTATTTTTGCGTTAGAATAGTCTTTAGTTACAGTTCAAAAATAACACTTTCTTCCATCTCTTATACCTTCTATAAAAAGCCCTTTGTTTCTTGTCTGTGACTGAAAAGTTTTATTTAGCTGCTTAACTATGTACAGTTGTCTTAAAACTGCAAGGATTAACTTTCCTGTATGAACTGTTTTAAAAAGAACACAAAAACTTCGCTTCCAGTTCTCAAGTCAGCCGCATCTTGCCATTGTCTTCAAGACCAAATCCTAGTGAATAAAAAAAAAAAAAAAAAA